TTTTTTTCCAATTCCCAAAATTCATGTTACTTACCTGAGAGCCAATACAGCACAGGACACTTTCCAGTTTCTGCTTTTGGAGGCAAGTAGATTCCAAATTTCATTTTGCATTTTAGCTCTGTACTGTAGCAATAAAATATTACCAGTTAGGGCTGCTACTTAATTAACAAGGTTGTTAACATTAAAAAAGGAAAGCTGAATCAATGCATTTTCAGAATATAACCAGCCCCAAGAGAGAGACATGCTCAGTAAACTGTAAGAACTAAGAAGTTAAATAAAATGAAAAAATTAAACTTAGCATAAGTCTCTTGACTTGACAACAGCTAACCTTCTTATTTTTTTTTAATATATTAAAACCAGACACTTACAAATAAGCCACGTTTTTGCAATGTTGCTAACAGGGAACAGCTTGAAAATTGAATTTTGAACTCCAGCAATATTTAACTTGAACCTTGCACATTAAATTGGAAAGCAATTTTTACTGAAGAACACATCTACATGACTTACAGAATGCGCACAGCATGCCCCACCAAGAGTGAAAGCGTTTTCAGTCCACTAAATCTACAGACTAACCGATTGGCCAATTTATTCTAAAGTCTAAAACTGCCAAAAAACCTTATCTGAGCATAAATAACGATTCTTTTTTTTTTTTTGGATCAGAAATGAAAAAACAAATGCTTCTCTTTTCATCCTCATTAAACAAGAAGATTATATCTATTGCCTTTGTCTGCTCAGAGCATTTTTTAGGAGCGAATAAAAAATGGAAGAGGAAATAGAGTGGATAGAGCTTTGTACACACAACAGTTCTCTGTGCTGCAAACAGGTCAACCCAAAGCAATGGAGCTTCATCTTAAAAATAAAAATACTGTTTTCCAGTCACAGCTCTGCAGCAGTAAGTACATTAAACATGCTAAACATTAACACAAAAATACAACAACATAGCCAAAATAGTAGTAAATGGCATTCCTTACTTAAATATGGATACTAGTGAGAACAAACACTATTTTCCTGCAGACTGAGAGCACTGACAACAATACTATGGATTCACTACTCCATAATAAACGTTTAGGTTGTTTTCATAACATTTACCTGTCATGTTCAAACACCTTCTGGAAACCCTCAAAGCATTTGTTGCTGGAAACCTGTTTCAGTGCCATGGCCTTAGCTGTTTAAAAAAAAAAAAAAAAAAGGGTAAGTTAAACTTGAAAATAAAAGTTCCAGGACTTACTTTGTTTTGAGAAACTGTGATATAAAACAAAGATGCTTTAAGTTGTATTTAACTTTTCTGTTCCCGTTACTTACTATGAAGCA